GAAGGAAAGAAACAAACCATCCCACCCCCCCCCCCCATGGGGAATGGCTATGACACAATCCCTCCTCCATTTCTCCCTCCTTTCAGGATTTTGAACACACACATGTGCTTGGTGTGTTTCTCAATCTGTTGGGTCTGGGACTTGAATTGCATAGTTGGCCATGTGGGAGCCAATACCATGGACTGAGCTGCCATTTCTTCTTTAAAAGTTAGTTTATTTCTTCTGAGAGAGACAGAGGCAGAAAGACAGGCATCCCCAACCCAGTCCTCACGCTGTGATTCACCTCTAGTCTCTGCCGGCCTGGATCATGGGCACTCCTGGGCATGCGTGGGACTCCTTGCGTGTGGTTCCAGCTGCTACTGCGGTCACTACGAGGGCTCTGCTGGCCACTCTTCAGTGGACTCCTGGAAAGCAATGAGAGAGTAGGTTTTCCAGACCCAGTGGGAGAGGGGAGATTGCCTTTGATGACAGGAACAGGCCATCAGTGTGTCCCCAGAGCATCTGATCAGATGCAGAGGGGCCCCGCAGGTGGAGACTTGAGCATAATGAGAATGGAGGACAGGCACGACCCAGGCATCATTCAGACGGCCAGGCATTATTTTTCCATTTTAGAAGAAGCTGGGTGAAAAGCCTATTCCGGCGCTCAGTGAATCAGGCTAATTGTGTAGATGGATGTTGCACGGAATTCTCCGTTCTACGGCCCATCTCTGTATCATGTAAAATGTGAGCCTGAGTTGGAGCCATTGTATCGAACACGAGCAGGAACTCAGGGTTTTGGTAAAGCTCTGGCAGTGACTTTTGACACAGCCTTTTATAAAACGTTATTGAATTAATTTATTTATTACATTTTATTTGTGGGGGCAGCAGGTGGTGTGGTGGTTAAGGATGCTGGACTCCTACATGGCCAGCTATGGTCGAGTCCTGTATCTGGCTGCTTGCTTTTCTCACTTTCCCTCTCTAACTCTTTGGTCAAAATAAAATGAATAAATACATAAAATAATTAAAATAAAAAAAATTGTTATTATTATTTTTTAATTTGACCAGAGAGCGACAGAGAGAAAGGGAAAGTGAGAAAGCAATCTGCAAGTTCCGGGACTCAAACTGCAGTTCACACTGTGGGAGTCCAGCGCCTTAACAACCACGACATCTGCCAGGCCTACCGTCTTTAGCCAATGTGGCGGCGACCCAGCCATGGTTGCACCCAGTATCGTCAGCAGATGGCGCTAGAGGCCGCTAAAAGTCAGTCGGCCAGCGACTTCAAAGGCGGGCTCCACCGGACTCCATCTCCAGTTCGTCGATAGCTAATGAGCTCGTGACCATTCTGACTTTAGTGTGGTGAGTGGGAGGCCTTCGTTACGGGCCCTTTACTGTCGCCAGTCCTTGCCTGCAGGCTCTGACCTCCAGCCCATGTCCCAGCCTGGTCAGCCCCTGCCCCTGTTTCTACTCTCTGCGGCCTTCTTCCCTTCCTCCAGCCTCGCTGGTTTCCTGCCCAGCCGTTGCGCGGGCTGTGCCTCTGAATGCTCAGGGTTTCACGTGGCTCATCACGCGGTCTCCACTCAAATTTCCTTTCTCGGAGAAGCCTGGTCTGACCACTGTTTCTAGCCTCCTTCTCCTTTTTCATCGCTTTCTAAACATTTTGTTTTCTTTAAAAAAATTTTTTTTATTTATAATAGAGCTTATGCACATGCGCAGAAAAAGAGAGAGAGAATGAGCACCAGCCAGTCTGGACATTCTGAGATCATCTTCTGGAGCTCCTGGGATCTTAGACACTTCAGTGTGTTCTGGGTATTTCTGGCTGATAGGGCGGGGGCTGGAGGGGGGGTGTTACAAGTGCAGTCATCATATGGGATCTGGCCTCTCTTGAGCACAAATCTAACAAAATTCCATTATTTTTAAGTCTAAGGTTTAAAATGAAATTTCCATTTCTCTGCCTTTTGATTTTTTAAGACAGATTTTTGTTGTAGAGCATGATAGAAAGCAAAAAAATCACCCCCACCCCACCCCCACCCTGGGGGGATGGCCACACCGCAATCCCTTCTCCTCCATTCTCCTCTTGGTTTTGGACACATACACATATGTACCTGGCGTGAGTTTTAAGCTACCGGGTCCAGGACTTGAACTGAGACTCCAGCGATGTAACCATTATGGCATCTTCTGTTCCCATCTCCATCCTTTTGTCCTTTTGTTTGGGAAAGGTTTTTGCTATAGGGTACATGCACTTGCCAGAAAGACAGAGACAGAAAGCGAGAAATCACCCTCCTCCTCTTGGGATCTTGGGCATGCATGCACATGCGCCCAGCATGAGTTTAAGCCACTGAGTCCGGGACTTGAACTGCGGTCAACTACATGGGAGTCCAGTGACATAGCCATTACGCCATCTGCTGGTCCCAGTAGTTTGTTCTTCTTAAATGGTACCTGTCCCATAAATGTTACACAAAGTGAATGGACATCACCCTGCAAGAAGAAATTTATTTGTACATGATTTACTTCCTAACAAAATAAAAAGTAGTAATTTTCATGAATTTTCTTGTGTTATGTGATGAGACAATTTTGACATATGATAATGGAAGCCACAGCATAAATGCAATTTTCTTTTAAAATAACTATTTAATTTTATTCATTGTCACTTAAAAAAATTTTTTTTTGAAGTTGACTAGAGAGAGACAGAGAGAGAAGGAAAGTGAGAAAGCAAGCTGCCAGGTCTGGGACTTGAACCATGGTCAACTGTGTGGGAGTCCAGCTGCTTTAACCACCTGCTGGCCGCCATAAATGCAATTTTAAAAAGTTATTATTTTATTTAACTTTACTTATTTATTTTTAATTTGGTCAGAGACTGACTGAGTGGGAGGGAAAGTGAGAAAGCAAGCTGCCAGGTGGACAGGTGCTTCCAGATTTACAGTAACATTCACCCCATTTTCAAGGGGCTGTTCCCAGCCAGTGAACTCGGTGGGATATCAGAGTCTCTCCCCAGAGCCATCCCTGCACCCTCAGAGACAAATCCTCCTTTGGACGCCACTATCTGCCTGGCAGTCTCTCCTCCAGGGCCATCCCTGCACCCTCAGAGACAAATCCTCCTTTGGACGCCACTATCTGCCTGGCAGTCTCTCCTCCAGGGCCATCCCTGCACCCTCAGAGGCAAATCCTCCTTTGGACGCCACCATCTGCCTGGCAGTCTCTCCTCCAGGGCCATCCCTGCACCCTCAGAGGCAAGCCCTGCTTTGGATGCATCTGCCTGGCAGAGACTTGCTTAGAGCTGCAGCATCAGGCTCTTCCTATCCAATGCTCCTCTGTCCTCCCCTCCTTTTGTAAGAGTCAGCCGGCATTGCAGTCTCTCCTCCTACTCCTTCTTGTCTTTATCTATCATAGGTGGTTTTGCCCAATAAATCTTGTGTATGTCTAATTCTATCTTGCATTTTGCTCTATGTCCTTCCCCCAGGCCCCACTCCTCCACAGGTTGTTCTTTTTTTTAAAAGAATTATTTTCATTTAACTTTATTTATTTATTTATTTTAATTTGACCAGAGAGGGACAGAGAAAGAGAGAGAAGGAAAGTGAGAAAGCAAGCCACCAGGTCTGGGACTCGAATTGCAGTGGGCCATATGGGAGTCCAGCGCCCTTAGCCACCAAGCCACCTACCGGCCCCAGGTTGTTCTTGCAGAATAGATACAAACTCCAAATGCCAGTTTATTTAGAAGTCAGGAGGTTGGAGGCTGAGGATTGGTCATTCATTGAAGCTCTAGAAGGAGGGGCTTGGCTAGTTTTTGATGATGAAGGGGCAACCTGAACCGTAGAAATGGCATTTCTTTGAGTTGGCGGAGACCGTGGCTGTTGTTTTGTAGGTGCGTTAGTTGTTCGTTGACTCTTGCTTTGCTTTCTGTGTGTTTTTCTGTGTGACGACTGGGGTTTCACGCCATGCGGTGACCTGGGAGGTACTGGCGAGAAGTTGTTGAGGATGCAGCACTGTTTGTACCTGTCACACAGGAAAATGGACTTTTCGTTCGATCTGCAGTACAGCCTGCAGTGTCCGGGGATGTTGTGCCCACATCTTGCCCCTCCCCAACTGGCTGCAATGAGAGGACAAAGCAGAAAGAGGTCAGGATTAGAAGCAGCTGGGACTGGCATGGGGTGTGGTGGTTGAAGACGTTGGACTCCCACGTGGCTGACCGCAGTTTGAGTCCTGGACTTGGTGGCTTGCTTTCTCACTTTCCCTCTCTGTCTGCCCCTCTCTGGTCAAATGTAAATAAATAAATAAAATTAAATAAAATAATTCTTAAAAAAAAAAAAAAAGATTAGAAGCAGCTCAGGGACTGCCAAGGAGTTAGGAGGGGGATGAGAGCATTCTGTTTTTTTTTTTTTTTTTTTTAGAGATTTTTGCTGTAGGGTGCATGTGCGCTTGCTAGAAAGACAGAGAGAGACAGAGAGACAGAAAGCAAGAAATCAGCCCCCCAGGGGGGATGGCCACGCCGCAATTCCTTCTCTTCCATTCTCTTCTTGGAATCTTGGGCACGCATGCACACGTGCCCAGCGTGAGTTTAAGAACTTGAACTGCAGTCTACTACATGGAAGTCCAGCAACATAGCCATGATGCGAACTGCTGGTCCTAAGAGAGCGTTCTGTTTTTATTCTGAGATGTAAGCTGGAGATACCAGCCAAAGCACTGGGTGAAGACTGACATATCTCCCTTGACTGACAGCCTCTGGGAACCCCGATGAATACTGTTTCTTTGCCAGCACCTGCTTCTTGGAAGCTTGTTGAGGCCCATAGCTTTGCTACATTTGATATTACAGAATACAATGTGTGGGTGAAAAGGGGTGAGGCGCCAGGGCTTCTCTGTCAGGGAAGAGCTTAAACACTCGAAATTTGGACTATTCTTACCCACTTCACAGGCTCCCCTGATAGGGTTTCTGCCTCATTTTTAAAAAAGAATTATTTATTTTGGGGCCAGCAGGTGATGGGCGGTTTAGACACTGGACTCCCACATGACCACTGTTCAAGTCAGACTTGGCAACTTGCTTTCTCACTTTCCCTCCCTCTCTCTTACTCTCTGGTGAGCACACATATCCTGTAGCAAGTTAAAAAAAAATGAAGTTAAATAAGTAATAAAAAAGTTAATTATTTAATTTTATTCTTTTTAAAATTTGCTATAGGTCATTTGTGGTCACCAGAGAGAGAGGGAAAGTGAAAAAGCAAGCCACCAGGTCTGGGACTTGAACTGTGACTGGTCATGTGGAAGTCCTGCACCTTAACCACCACACCACCTGCTGGCTTGCCTCATTTTTTTTTTTTTAGAGATATTTTTGTTATAAGGTGCATATGCTCGCTGGAGAGACAGAGAGAGACAGAGAGACAGAAAGTGAGAAATCACTCTCTGCCCTCCCCCCACCCTGGGGCGGGGGGATGGTTATGCTGCAATCTCATCTCCCCCAGTCTCCTCTCAAGATTTTGGGCATGCACACACATGCACTTGGCGTGTGTTTTAAGCTGCTGGTTTCGGGACTTGAACTGTGGTTGACTATGTGGGAGTATAGCAATGTAACCATTATGTCATTTGCTGGTCCCAGCTCATTTGTTTTTAAGAAATCTAAAATTGTCAATATTGGTAAACCCGAGGAGGGAGGCAGTCAAATAATTTTCCAGAAGCTTTAAAGGGAACATTATGGTTGCTACTGAGAGAGTTTTTGCATTCGTGCTCTGTGGGATGCCAGGGAACCCCTTCCGGTGAATTCCAAGAGCTTTACGTTAGTGCTCTTGTGCCCGCCATTGACTGACCGGATTCCGAGCACCTTCTTCCTTCTGTGGCTTTCTTCACCTCCATTGCCTGGTCCTGCTTTGATCTCTCTCACTCTCTCTAGTCCTGCATTCTCTCCTCACCCCAGGGCCCAGCGAGCACCTTGCTTACCATCCTACATGATCTCTCCTTCCACCGCCTTACCTGCCAGTTTTGTGTTGTACATTGGGGTGGGACCCTAAAGTCTCTTCCTTCCAGGCTCACTACCTCCTTTGACTAACCAGAGCTGATCTCACAGTGAGGAGAAATGCCCTCTCAGTGTTTTAGAAGCTTAAATAAAGGGAGCTCCCAGAAAAACGAAAGAAAGCTACTTGGACAGTTTGAGACTGACATGATTTAGAACCAGAAACAAGTATTTGTGCGAGGTTGTACAGGGTGGGGTACAGGGACCCATGGTGGATGTTGGGAGATTTCTCCCTTGGTTGCAATTTGATGAGGGGAGCCTGACTCCTCTCAACCTGGCTTGTCTGTCATGAGGGCAAATAGAGTCGCTCAGAGTCCCTGGTCCCTAGCTCTCCTGTCCCCTCTCCGCCAGTTTACCTGGGGCCAGCTGGGCCAGGAATCCGAGGACTGCAGAGACCAGGAGCTGGAACTTCATGTCTGAAGGGGTGGCCCGGGGAGCGGGTGGTGGTTTAATGAAGTCAAGGCCCTCTGTGTAATGTGCCTGGAGCTACTGCCTTTATAGGCTCCACACAAGCCAGGATAATGGGCAGCACACCAAAGACAGTTCTGTTACTCAGAGCGGTCAGATTAGATCGGAATGTCTGCTGGACTGGGCCTGGGCTGATTTATTGAGCACCTGTGTTCTGGGGTTCTGGAGGCCCACAATATCCACTGGTCCCTTCTAGGCAATATTAATATTTTTTTCAATGTTAATTTTGATTCCCTGATCAAGGCTTTGCCAAATTTTCTCACCATGTGTTTTTGTTGTGATTATTAAGCAGTCTGTGGGGAGACAGTTTAAGACCATGCATGTCTCTGCTCATCATCAAAATTTCATCCTAGATTTAGCAATCGTTGGTGATTCTTGCCTGATCCATGCTATTCACCAGAATGGCTGCAAAATTACCTAGTCTAAATTTTTTTTTCTTTTGAAAAGTTTTTCTATAGAGTGCATGTGCTCGCTGGAGACCAGAGAGACAGAGATAGGTAGAGAGACCGAAAGTGAGAAATCATTCCCCAGAGGGCATGGCCATGCTGTAATTCCTTCTCCATTCTCCTCCCAAGGTCTTGAGCATGCACTCACACGCGTCTGGCATGAATTTTAAGCCTCTAGGTCTGGACTTGAACTGTGGTTGACTACGTGCAAGTCTAGCAATGTAACCATTGTGCCATCTGCTGGTTCTCCTAGTCTAATAAAAAAATTTAATTCATTTATAATAATGATAGTATTATTATTGTTTTTAATTGGTTACTGAACACCTGTGCTCATCAGAGAGAGACAGTGAGAGAGAGAGAAAGTGAGACAGCAAGCTGCCAGGTCTGGGACTTGAACCAAGGTCGCCATATGGGAGTCCAGCACCCCTTATCCACCATACCACCTGCTGGCTCTGCCAATTCCTTTTTTTTTTTTTTTTTTTTTTTGCTATAAGGCGTGTGCGCTCACCAGAAAGACAGAGAGAGACAGAGAGACAGAAAGCAAGAAATCACCCCTCCGCGGGGATGGCCATGCCACAATCCCTTCTCCTCCATTCTCCTCTTGGGATCTTGGGCACGCACACACACGTGCCTGGCGTGAGTTTAAGCCATCGGGTCCGGAACTTGAACCACGGTCGACTACATGGGAGTCCAGCGACATAGCCATTATGCCAACTACTGGTCCCCCACTAATTCTTTTTTTTTAAAAGAGACAGAGAGAGACAGTGAGAGGGAAAGTGAGAAATCACCCCTCCGCGGGGATGGCTGTGTAGCAATCTCTTCTTCCCCATTCTCCTCCTGGGATTCTGGGCACTCACACACATGTGCCTGGAGTGATTTTCAAGCCACCAGGTCCAGGACTGGCACTACGGTTGGCCACATGGGAGTGCAGTGCCTTAATCACCATGTCACCTGCTGACCCTTTTTGTTTTGACAGGGTCTCACTTGTCATGATTCTTTTGCTCCTGCTTCCTGAATAACTGGGACTGAGTGCACATAGCCAGGCCCAGGTTTTCTAGGGCATTCTAGGAATGAAACCTGGGCCTCCCACATCCCCTCAGCTGCCAAGTAGCAGCATCTACCAGTGTGTGCTACCATGGCTGGGCCTCTTAAAGTTTTCTTTTATTTGTTTTAGTAGTTAAGTATTGAGTTATTAGAAAGGTCATGATATATTTTTCCTATGTTTTTCTATACCAAAATGTGTCATGACTTGTCTGATGACCCAGTATTAGATAGCTTAATTTTTCATATTAAAATATCCATGTTTAGGGCCAGCAGGTGGCATGGAGCTTAAGACGTTGGATCCCACGTGGTCAACTTTGCGGTTCAAGTCCTAGACCTGGTGGAAAATCATGCCAGGCATGTGTAAATGCATACCCCAAATCATAAGAGGCGCATGGGGAAGGGGATTGCAGTGTGGCCATCCCCTCCTGGGGGGGTAATTTATCACATTTTCTCTCTCTGTCTGTCTCTGGGGAGTGCAGGCACCTTCTGGAAAAAAAGGTAAAAAAAAAAAAATCCATGTTCATACGACTGGCATGGTTTCTCTCCTTGCTGGATCTTGACTGGTGTAGCCAGCTGTATCTACAATCAAGGCGACAAACTGGCTTCCAGGGCTCCAGGCACCTTAGGAGCCCAGGAGAGCATTCATATAGGAGTGTGGGAGGGGGAGGGGTGGCCAAGGGGGACTCTCATCTCATCCCTGGGCCTTTCACAGGTTTTCTTCACAAGCCCCATCGCAGATTTCCTCTCACATGTCATTGGTCAGAATTAGGTCTTTTAATTATTTCTCACTTTTTTTTTTTTTTTTGCAGGGGGTGGTGGTGCTAAGATCAGGTGTAGAAATGTGTCTCCTGTTCATTACCATACGGTTCAGCCTAAAAGAGCTGGGTACCTTGGATCATCACCAAAAATTTCCATTCGTTTTTTTTGCTATAGGACACGTGCGCTCGCCAGACAGGCAGAGAGAGACAGAAAGCAAGAAATCACCCCCCAGGTGGGATGGCCACGCCGCAATCCCTTCTCCTCCATTCTCCTCTTGGGATCTTGGGCACGCACGCACATGCACCCGGCATGAGTTTAAGCCACTGGGTCCGGGACGCGAACTGCGGTTGACTACATGGGAGTCCAATGACATAGCCATTATGCTAACTGTTAGTCCCTTTGGAGAGGTTTTTGCTGTAGGGCACGTGCGCTCGCCAGGAATACAGAGAGAGACAGAGAGACAGAAAGCAAGAAATCACCCCCCAGGGGGGATGGCCATGCCACAATCCCTTCTCCATTCTCCTCTTGGGATCTTGGACACGCACAAACACGCGACCCGCGTGAGTTTAAGCCACTGGGCCCGGGATTCGAGCCGTGGTCGACTACATGGGAGTTCAACGACATAGCCATTACGCTAACTACTGGTCCCAGATTTCCCATTCTTTTAACAAGGAACAAGAAGCTCTGATTGATTTGCCCCAGCAGTGCTTCCACCCCTGCCACCTCCTTTACTTACATACTGGAAAGCCTAGTTCATAGTCACTGAGTACTGGCTCTGTACCAGGTACTGTGCCAAGTGCTTTACTAGATCATCATATTTTAACTTCTCGGCCATCCTATCAGGTATGTCATTCATTATATGCATCTTACAGTATGGAGGTGGAGGCACAGAGGTAAGAGGAACTTACCGTAGGAACCTTGATTCTAATGGCTATTCATTTTTAAAAAACCGATTTATACTAAAAGGTGTGTGCACTGACCAGAGAGAAAGCGAAAGTGAAAAAGCACTCCCCAGGCGTAATGGGGGTAACCACACTGCAATCCCTTCTCTTCCATTCCCCTCTCAGGGTTTTGGGTATGCATATGAGCCTAGTGCATCTCTCTCGAGCCTCCAGTCTGGTGTAGTGGTCATGTGGGATCTAGCCACCTTCACCACCTTGCCACTGGATGACCTAGAAATTGAGAAACTTAATAGGAAGCAGTTGCAATTTTCTAGGTAAAAGCTGGTTTATCTGAAAGCAGAAATTGAAAGGAGGGAATACACTGAGCTATAGTGGAAGGCATATTTTATAGCAGTTGGTACTAGATTGGGTGACAAGGGGGAGGTAGGAGCCCACAGAAACCCAGGCTTAGCACTTCCATGATGTTTTCCTGGTCCACATTCCTTCTGCCTCCTAGAAATCCCATTATTGCACCTAGAACTCTCTTCTCTACTCCATAGGACTCTACAGTACCTTGTCATGGTATGGTGGTTAGGGATCTGGACTCCCACATGGCTGACTGTGGTTCGAGTCCCAGACCTTGTGACTGTCTTTCTCACATTTTCTCTCTCTGTCTCTCTCTGGCAGGTGTATATGCCCTATAGCAAACTAAAAAAAAATATGAATAAAATTAAATCATAAATAATTCTTTTTTTTAAAAAAAAGAACTCAAAAACAAACAAACTAAAGGACTCTATCAATATGGTCACAATTATAGGCTTTCTCCTACCACCTGAGGGGGAAAATAATAGCTGTCTCTTCTCTGGTTCTCCATGTCAAACTAATGACTAATCTGCTGTTCCTTTGTTGCTCTCAGGCTCAGAGAGCTATTAGCTTCCTTTTTATTTCTTGCCACTAAGGTCTTTATTGTCTCCAACAATGCCTTAAGGCCCAAGTTCCCCAAGCTCTGTTCCAGATAATGTCATCCCCTTAAGCAGAGATGCAGAGCTGCCAGTACTTTTCTCTCCAGCCCCGTTGGGCAGAGCCCAGAGCTCAGTGTATAGGTGGAGGTCTGCTTCTGTGGAGTAATACCATCTCCCCACAAGCAGGA